CCCCCCCCCCCCCCCCCCCGGGGTTAGAGTATGTAAAGATACTTCGGAAATGGGACAACATTGCATATGCCAAAACTAAAAAGGTCAAAAAGAGTTTTAATTTTATAATACACATTCTAGCATGTGCATTGGTGATTTTTTATCATCAATAAGAGGACAGACAGATAAGCTGATGTCAATGTGTGCAAACTCTTTCCTTTGATCGTTTTGATCACTAAAAATAAGACATTTTTATCATTTTTGTTATATAAGGTAAAAAAGAAATTTACTTCAATTTTTTATGAGTTTGATAATACATTTCGTCATTACATGTATATTGTCAAAGTATTATGCAGATCCACACTACTTTGACAACATGATGATGCAATTTATTGCCAAGAAGAGGACAGACAAATAAGAAACTGATGTTGATGTAAATTTGTTAATATTTCACATTAAACCATATTTGAAATCTTTATAAAAATTCTAAGATCAGGTCTATTTTTGTTTTCTAGCTTGAATGCGAGGTTTGGAGTGGTTGCCGTGCCAACTATTCTCATATTTCATACTGGTAAACCAGTATTAAAATTTAACCACTCAAAGACGCTAGAGGATTTAAGGAATTTTGTTAAGAATTATACAGGTGAGTGTCGAAATACTCCAGGCTTTTAAAATTTTAATTTTCCAAGTTTGATTATAACAGATCAAAAACAGTTTTCCGTGTTTGATACTCTTATCAAAACATGCGGGATGTTGAGAGAACACAAGAGGAGCATAGGAAACCATGACGCGTAGCGGAGTGGTTTCCAGCTTCTTGAGTGTTCTCCCAACAACCCAAGTGTTTTGATCAGGGTATCAAACAGGGAAAACTGTTTTTTGATTTGTTTTATGAAATAACAAACGCGCAAAAAGATTGGAAAGAAAAGCAAAGCCTAAGTAAATTCTCCCTTACTCAAATTGGCTAATGATCTCGCACGATATATTAAAATCTGACAGTTGCAATACTCGTGCGCACTAAAAATGACGATAGTGTGTTTTGATACTCTCATCAAACATGGTTTTCGACCAATCAAAGCACGCGTAGTATCCCAATTATTTTATAAATATATTTAAAGCTTCTCATTTCAGTGAATATCGGGGAATTTTTACCTTGCCCCTCTAAGACTCGTATCTCGGTAAATATTCCCCAATATTTACTTTGCTGAATAATTGTGAATTGCAGGAGTATGAGGACTTTAATCATATTATGGTATTTTATTTTTAGGTCTAGAAGGGAATATGTCAGTAATAGTCTCTGATGAAGACTTTGAAGGACCAGTTAGCAGCGTAGCTACCATAGAGACGGACTTCTATCTTATAATATCATCATYATTTGTATTTGGCTTTGGTTTGTACTTGTTCACTCATTCTTATTATGGAACACTGTTATATGGGAAAATAATGGAGATTGACTGGACAACAGTTTTTAGATGGTGTAAGATAAAAAATGAATGAAATGAATATACTGTTAGTATTATGTAGCACTATAATGTACATATAAAATATTTGACATTTCTTTCCTCGTTATTTGGAATTTCCAAGGGGTGGGGAGGGTCTGAGGAGGGTATATTCTGTAGTACCAGAAAATATACATACCTCCCCCATGGAGGGGGATTGGAATTTTCAAGGGGTGGGGAGGGTCTGAGGAGGGTATATTGTGTAGTACAAGAAAATATCCATACCTCCCCCATGGAGGGGGATTGGAATTTTCAAGGGGTGTGGAGGGTCTGAGGAGGGTATATTGTGGGCAGGTTATAAAATTAATATAAATTCCAAAGATATAATGACATTCATAGGCAAACTACAATGTTTCTATTTATCTATGAATCTTGCTTTGTTTATCCTGAAACTAAACAATTTCATTGGCTAAATGGGTATACCATGTTGCCATGGAAACAAATTGATGTTAAACATTATTTTCCATTGAGTTTCTAGGGATGAAATTAAATGACTGGCAAGATAGTTTAAGTGTGGTTTTCCATCTTCTGCAAACTCGGTAGTTGCGAGTTGCACGCTGAAATTTGGTTTTAGGCTGCCGTCAACCAAAAATAATCAGTCGGTACCTTTCATGTTATTGACTGGCGGCATTAGAAAAAAGTTCCACAACAAACGGTTGAAATGTCTGAGTTCGCAGAATATAGAAAACTGCATTAAGGGAGAATCAAAAATAAATTTTTACTGAGATAGTCTTTGTTATTTTTGGTATTTTTTTGTTCTTTTTTTGTTGAAACAAAATGAACACCTGGGGGGGGGGGGTACGCTAGGGTATCCGCTATATGGGTATGTGCTGCCAAACAGGGTATGGTTTCAGTGATTCTACTGAACAGGGTATATAAAATCACACTTGCTCCGGAACGGGGTATATGAAATCACGCTCTCTGCTCTCTGGAACAGGGTTTTCAGCGATCTTGCTCTGGAACAGGGTATGAATTTCAGCGATTTTTACCCTGGAACAGGGTCAGGGTTCAGAGGGCTCAGCGGCACATACCTACCCTAAACGGGTAAGAGTACCCCCCGGGAATGAACAACACCTGAAAAAATCAGGTTGACATACTGTACGATAAAGGATAATAATAAGTTATCTCCCCTAACATCACCTTTAAAATGTTACAGTAATGATAAAAAGGTAAATTATACACCGTGAAAAGATGAAAAAACTTAAGTCTTTTACTCCGACGAAGGACTAGCGTCCGAAACATCAGTAAGTTTTTTCATCTTTTCATGGTGTATAATTTACCTTTTTATCATTACTGTTTCATTAGAAACACAGACGCAGCTCACACTAGTTTTTAGCTAGTTATATCTCTTTAAAATGTTAATATTTTTGTTATTTTATTTGTTAATATTTCACAAAACCAAATCTTACTGCAGCAAACTTCTTTATGGTGCTAAAACAGACTATTTATTATTATTTAATATTTTTCACTTGTATTATTTTTCACCACACATTCAGCTCATATCAGTTTGTACAATTTAGATAATGTTGTATATAAAATACTGTCAAAACTAAAAGTCCTGCTGTTCTAAAATCTCAACAACCCTATTGATTTTTGATTTCATTGTGAAACTATTTGATATTATCAATGATAAAGTTTGACAAACTTTTTGTTCAAAAATATATATTAATGTGCAACAATGATTATCTTGTTTTAAAGTGACGTGGTGATTGGCTGTCTGAAGTTCAATCTGTTGATTCGTCTGAAAAAAAAAAAAAAAATTACAAAGAAATATGTGAGAAGTTTTTGGTTTTTTGATAGAGTGCTCGCACTAAAACCGTGAAACGAATACTAATTTTTAGTACTAAATAATGATAATCAAACAATAGGAAACAAAGGCTATTGTATGAATTATTACTAATTAGTACTAAATATTATTCTCAGGTTTAGTGCATGCACTTTAATGTAAACACTAAATGCTGAGAGAACATGAAAGAAGAATAAAGCAGAATATGATGAATTGTGAGCATTTTGAATACCTAAAGTAATCAACCAATCACAGCCTGAATTAGAACTCTGTTATTTTATAAACGTTTTTTTCATTAGCTGTTTTTTTCAACCAATAGGAGCCTGAATTAGAAATCAGTTATTTTATAAAACGTTTTTTCATTAGCAGTTTTTCAACCAATCGGAGCCTTCATTAGAACCCAACAGTTTTTTTTTCATTAGCTGTTTTATATGCATGATTTCCATGTTGTATCGATAAGCCTTTTCATAGTTTAAGAATTGATTCCACTGCGCATGCGATTTTATCCCGAATTTCTCACCTTTTGTTTAATTAAGAAAAAAAGAAGGTTTAGACAAAAGAAGGTGAGAAATTCAGGATAAAATCGCATGCACAGTGGAATTGATTCTTAAACTATGAAAAGGCTTTAATTGAGTAGAAATGAGAACAGTGGTAAGACATGTAATTACTGACAGTTACCTTTCGACATTTTGGTTGATTATAGACCTCATTGGTGTTGATTTCGGTCCTGGTGATGGTCTGAATATTTTCCTTTCAAGCCCAGCAGCTTCTTTCTTTGTTTTCACCTCGTACGGATCTTTAGAATGTGTTGGGTAGGTTGTGAAGCAACCAGCTTTACAACCACCAATCTATAAGCACAGGAATGTCAATAATGTCAGGGCAACCTAATTGACAAACTGAACTGGAATACTGTACTTCATTTTACAGTTCTGTTTAATGACCATGAATAAGGCCAAACAAAAAAATAAGTGTGTTTCCTGTTGTGCGATGGACCCTAATTTTCTTGCCAATTTTTGCCGACCCTAATTTTTTTCATTCCCAAATGCACCACAGGGTTCCCAGTAAGCTCATTTACACTGTTGTACCAGTAAAAAAAAAAATCTGACCTATCAACCCCAATTTACCAACCACATGCGCAGCAACTCCAGCCTCGGCTTTGAACTGTTATTAATTTTTGTGGTCACTTAATGGAACTGTTATGGAGTATTAATATAGCTTGTTATATGTTCTGCTAAAGGAAAATATTGGTGAACCCAGTTTGGAGGTGCTATGTATGCACATGTGAATTCTTGCAGTAGATTTGAAACAATAGAGAGTTTTAGATTGACTTTTTTTTCTCACTGCAAACGGCAAACGTGACCACGTTTTCATAGTTTTCCTTTATTTTACTTTACCTTTTACAAACCTTCTCACCAAGCGCAAATACTCTCTTTTGTTTTTCTACTACTTGGACTTTTTTGCGATTCTTTTTCAGTAATTTAAAAGAATTTTTTACTGGTCAACTGACGTTTCATGTTTGCCRTGAACGTAAATCTAAAACTCTCTAATAACTTTTTGGCAGCCCCCCGCCCAATAGCTCACCCCTTTACAAACCTGGTATAATAATTGTTTTCCCTGTAACAGGGCTTGAAATACAAAAAAAATTGTAGCCTGCCATAGTAAAGCGGAGCATGCATGCTTAAAGGAGGTCATCCCAGTAAATTTTGTATGCCATTTTATTATTCATTTGGCAGTGTATCATTATTTTCACCTGCCAAACCTGAAATTTGGCCTGTCATTTGGCCATTGGCTGGCCGCTATCCCGAGCCCTGCTGTAATAGCAGAACATTACCAGTCTCTTGACTGCTACGCACTGATCAAGGCAACAGTCACAACAGGGAAATAGGGCAATACACTGCAGCCAATTGGAGAATAAAGATACCGACCAATATCTGATTGACATAAGTGTATTGCCCAATTTCCCTGTTCCAACTGTTGGTGCATTCAGCACGGAGCAATTAAAGAGTGGTAATGAATTTTATAAAAACTACTGATAATGATCTTTATCCCCACCCCACCACTCCCCCCTATTTGTTAGTAGCCCACCCCAACCCAAACACGAATACGTTCTTAATCTACAATGTTTCTTTACCTCCTTAGCTGGTGAACTCTGCTTGAAAGGTTTGAAGTTAGTTTTTGACTTGCTCAAATCTTTGATTGGAGGTAAAGCTAAAAGAAACAAAATACAGAAAATTACTTCCAAAGTTTGTTCACAAGCTCACACTTTCAGTAGGAACTTCGGGACTTCAAAGTGAAATTGATTAGGAAGCGATCTTTCAAACTTTTTCACATTCATGAGACAAAGGGATAAGTATCAATTATTAGCAATAATTTTACAATTCCATGATGAATAATATTTTTTCATTACAAAAAAATAATTATAGCTGCAGTCAAGACACGGAGTATGCTCCAGATTGAGAAAACAATTTAGACCCTGATTCCTTTGACCACATAATAATATYGATCTGAGTTAGGACAGTTTATAGTATTTTTTTTCACTGTGTAGTTTCAGAAATTACCCATTCCCTCCCCCCCCCC